TCTGTTGGCTGGCTGGCTGGCTTCTGGGCTATATCTATTTCAAACAGTCTTAATATTCAAGCTAATATTTCAGAGATATCTTTTATACATGATAGACTGGTGAATTTTCTTGTAGTCATTGATGATGATTTCTCGTTGGCGTTGTAATTCTATTTAAAACACTTTTTGATGAAATTGTCGTGGGGATAACCATTCTTTTTGAAGCAGATTGTTAGTATGGTATTTTTCTTCCATTCTTTTCAACTCTGGAGTGCTACAGTGTGTATTTGAACTCTCTTTTAAACAATAATGTCTGCACACAGTTTCTTTTATGAGTGAGTAATCGGATTATTGCTAGTATAGTTGCGTATTTGATCTCTCTCTGTGTGTGTGTGTGCATTGATTTTCTATATACTTGTGTTTCTAAATTTCCTGTGTTGGTTCTTTTGATTAAGACAACCATGAATGGAATTTTGGTGTCTAATTCTTCTTCTCTTGTAAATTTGATAAGAATGATGTATAAATTTCAAATACAGGAAACGCCAGAATTCCTGTCATGGAATTCTTAGCAAGCTGATACTCAAATGAATCAGCCAGTGATTAACAAGCACACATTACTATAGACCAAATTCGACAGCTAATATAAAGTAAATCATGACATGAAAAAAAAGTTCGAATTTCAGGTCAATAAAAAATGATCAATAGAGATGTGAATTAACAACCAGTCGCGACAGTACTTGCTAGGAGATACAATTACATTATCATTCATGGAGAATTTAAATAAGTCTAGCTGTCCAGTATTCCCTTCAGGTTTTCCAATGGTTCTCTCACCGATGTCAGTCCACGATGAAATCCTGTAACCAATCAATCAAATCCTTATAAACCAATACTTAAATATCAATGAGATGCTCACTAGCAACTGGCCCTATTCAGGTAAGTAATTACCTGGGTTCTAGTGGAAATTTGTGACCAGTAGGGTACAGTAGGTCGGGCGTGAAGACAAATACTCTCCGAAGACAGTAATTAGAATTCATAGGCCGGCCATTGGATCGGGTCCCAATGGCTTAATGGTCTACGAGCTAGCTCGCCTTGTTATCAGAAGATGCTGGGTTTGAACTCCGATGGGTAAGTGCGTACTGCTGAAGAGTCCCAAACTAGTTCCCCAGTACTCCTAGCTGGTTTTCTAATGGTTCTCTAACCAGTGTCAGCCCATGATGAAATCCTGTAGCCAAGTCCATTTTATACTAAAACTTGCACTGAAGGTGTTGTCTAGAATGAGGACAACGAAAGCTTTGCAATTAAATCACAGCTTGTAGCTTATAAAACAGAACTAATTCAATATCATCTACTTGAGCTACAAGCCTTCTCCATTATTTGACAATGAAACCTAGTAGGGGGCTGTGCTTTTCTACGGCAATAGCAATCAGGTCACTTAAACAAAAACCAATCCAATTCTCTATGTACACAGAAAGAGATAACAGTGATCTTTGCACTACTGCCTTGGTGATTTAAACTTACAAAACAAAGTTATGCAGTTTTTTTTTATGTCAATGTCTTCTCTTACTACATTTTCTCTGGTAGTTAGAAAATTTTATTGTTTCATCTGAACTTCACTCACCTAACTCCATTCATACTATTTTATAAAAATAAAACCTATTTTCTATAGTCACGTAACCTATTGTGTTGAATGATATACACGCTTACTAGGTAAACTTTATTTCTACTACCCACCCACACAAACCCGAAAAAATCTAAAAGACTTTGGACTCTGTCTTTTTGTTTTTTTAGGAATATTTAGTCTAATTATCCCAGAATCAGTCAACCCTATTCAGTTTTTAATAATTTAACAAACTACATCATTCTGGACTTATGATACTTTATATGGTTCCTTCCTATAAATAACTTCTGGTCATTTGCGTTAAAACGTATTTTTTTTTCAGGTATTGGTTTTGTAGGGATTTTGTTTGATTGCATGGAGGATTTCATCATGAGCTGACATCAGTTAGAGAACCATTGGAAAACCGGAGAGTACTCGACATCCAGGTGTTTCGTCCTAGTTTGGGACTCTTCACCAGTACGCATCCACAAGGCATTCAATCAAACAAAATCCCTAACAAATCAATGCCTGAAAATTCATCTGATGCTCACTAACGACTGGCAGTTAACCTGGGGTTCTAGTGGGAAACCGTGACCAGTAGGGTACAGCAAATTGAAGATGAGGCAGTAACTCATCGAAGAAGACATTATGAAATGGTCGCGCTATGTCGTGAATTGGCAGAAGTTACAATTCATGGGCTGGTCATTGGATCGGGTCCCAGTGGCTTAATGGTCTACGAACTCACCTTGCAACCAGAAGGTTCTGGGTTCGAACCCAGGTGGGTGGGACGAAACAGGTGTCCAGTACTTCTAGGTTTCCCAGTGGTTCTCTAACTGATGTCAGCGCATGATGAAATCCTCCATGCAAAAAGTATTTTTATGGAATCTTTTACGTAATTTGTAGTTTTGCATTGTTCAAGTTGTAGCCAGTTGAGGAGAAAAGGAATGAGCTTATATATCATCCTGGTATAACTACCGTTCTTGATTTGTTATCATTATCAGTGGAAGCAAGTTGGAGGGGGTTTCTTCCTTCACTTATCTCGCTAGGAAGCATGGTTTCAACTACAGATAGTCATCAGAACGCATGAAGACGTCAAAGCCAGCCAGAATCGAAAAGGCAAATAAAGTATGCACCTTCAACACTCTGAGACTAGTTTGGAAACCTTCTGACATCAGCACAAAGAACAAAAGTCCGATATTCAACACTCATATGAAGCCAGGTCTTCTATGTGTGTCAGAAACTTGGCGACCGCATCACAAAAAAGGATTTCCAACAAATTACCGACTCTTATATCAACAGCTGCCCACTTCGTTGGTTGCATAGTGAAGGTCATATGGCCAGCCGACCAAAGAGAAAGAATTAGTAACAAGAAACTCTGGCTGAGAACAAACCAACAAGCAAGAGCTGATTGCTCAACAAATATGTAGGGCCAAATGGAAATGGATTGGGCACACTCCACTGAGGAGAACATCGAATGACGTAGCACGCTAAGACTTCGAGTGGAACCCGAACGGGAAACAACGATTGGGGCGTCCGAGGGTGACATAGAGGAGGAGATGAGAGATTATGTGCAATTGTGAAGTCAGCTGAAGATTACCGCAGGGAATAGGACTCTAAGTGGAGACGTGCTGTTGAAGCCGTCTATAGTTCACTCGGAACCCAAGGGGACAATAATGAAATAATATTTTGACTCTACACTATCTTCGCTCATTACTAAATTTGCTTCCCAATCTGATAAGAAAACAGCGATTACATAACAAATCCCAAAATAAGAAGGCGAGAAGAAAATATGCTGACTACCAACTACAGAGTTACGTAGTGACTACCTCCGACTTAACGGCAGTGAAATAACGTAGCACTGCAACCTCATTTAAAACTCCTATTTGTGTGTAAATAATGGTGAAAAACAATATAATTTACTAGATATCATATAATGAGGTCAATCATATAGGTCAAATTAGTAGCCCGGGGTCAGTTAGGTTATCCAAAGTATCTGTCCCGTCAAGTTGAATGATCTGAAAAACAACTCAACCATTGCGCGTTGTGCATGCAATTGCGTGTAATCACACAATAGACCGGGACGGGGTGAAAGTACTTAAAAGTAATATAGTTAGGTGGAGAGACAGACAGGTGTTAATCACTGAATTTTTGTTTATCAAATCAACATCGAGAACACGTGCAATGACTCAATATCTATCTCGGATGTGGTCGAAAGTGAGTGAGGAGAGATACTCGTCAGCGATGACATTGGCTAGTGGTCGCGTTAAAAACCACCCATTGGTAGAAAGAATTCATAGATCATTGCGTCAGGTCCCAGTGGATGAATGGTCTACGAGCTCGGTAGCCTCGTAACCGGAGGGTCCCAAAGTTCGAACCCTGGAGGTGGGTGCGTACTACCGACGAGTTTCAAACTAGGATGAAACACCTGTCCAGTACTCCCTGGTTTTCAATGGTTCTCTAACTGATATCAATCCGTGATCAACTCGGAAAAAACATAACTAACCCTTACAAACCAAACTATAGAGAATACCTACATACTACTGCTACTCAGATATGATAACACAGAACGATTCATAGGGGAGTTCCAGTATTTTAGTGATCCACAACTATTATTCTCTTGGGTTCCGAGTGGAATATAAGGGCTTCAACAGCACATCTACATTTCAGCCAGTTCTCTGAAGTAGTTGTCTTTAGTTTGCTCCACAATTTTAACCATAATCTTTCATCTCGTTCATGTCACCTTCGGACGCTCAACTCGCTATTTCCGATTCGGATCATAATCATGAGATGACCTGTCACGCGATATCACTAAACAGTCTTCTCCCAGTCCAGCCGATTCATCTCCATTTGTTGAGGAATCGGTTCTCGATCGGTTCATTCCCAGATTTCCTTATTACTAATTCCTTTCAGCCAAGTATCTGATCTTTAGAATGGAGGTAGCGACGAGGGCAGCTGTTGATGAAATGGTTTTGGTGACGCGTGTGTCAAGTTTCTGATCCACATAAAAGAAGAACTGACTAACTTGTAACTGTTGTTGAAAATTCAAATCTTATTCGTTGGTCTACTTGCAGCAGATTTCCACCATGATTTTAGATTTTTGATAGTCTGTGTCTTGCCCTGACGTTCCTCCCTTTGACATCCTCATACGTGCGTACAGCCTGTAGTTGAAATGATGTTGACCAAATAAGAGAAAGATGTGACCTCGTTCAAATTTTTTCCACTTGTAGTAATACATATATCAACCTTATGTATATATACATCTTATGCGGTTGATAGTGTTTAGTGGAAGAATCCACAGCCGGGGCGTTTCATCTTATTTCAGGCTCGTCATCTGGATATGTACAGCTGCATTTCAATCAATCGATGGGGAATACAAAAAGTAAGCTAAGTAAACCTGTGCATATATTAAAATTATTTAACTTACGTATATAATTGGAACTATAAATAGTATAATTAGACATAGTCTCAGGATCAGTAACAGATCTTTTGCGCGGTAAAACCTGAGCATACAAATGACTAGAGAGAGTTGTCTAGAAAAAGGGAAAACAAAAAGGAGGAGAGATAAATAGAAAAATTCCGACGATATACTTGAGTGTTTTGAAACAAAATGTTCCCTACACACGGCATCAACTCTTAGTGTTAGTAAGAGTTACCCAACTACTACTCAATAAGCCACACCTTCGGTTGGACACTAGTAACCAGTCGGATGTGTCTAGTCCTTTTTTTGGTGCAGACTGAATTCTATCAGTCAGTCAGGTTTGCAATGTGGCCACCGTACCACTAGGTAGCTCGTCATTACGGTGTACATTGATTTGATGACATTAGATGGTTGGAGGAAATCGGCGGGAAGCTCTGTACCTAGGCTTTGTGTTAGTTGGCACCCACCAGTCAGTCAGCAAGGCATACTTGCAGCCTTGAAGGAACTCATGTCCCTTCTGAGATTCAAACCCGTGTCACTCCCTTCAAGATTGCAGATATGCCTTGGTGACTGGTGAGTGCCAAGGTACAGAGCTTCCTGCCGATTTTCTCCAACCATCTCATATCATCAACCCATACCTTATTGTGTGAAGGATGCTGATACTAAGTAGCTGCCCAAAACAGACACCCACCCTACGGCTTAAAGTCGAGACACACAAGAGAGAGAGAGAGAGCACCTTGACTAATAGACAACAGTTCCGCTAAGTGAAGAAACCCACGTGTTTTCTCCTAACTTGAGAGCCTTCTGACGGTCCCATAGGTGAGTGAATAATATTTTAGAGTTCCATATGATAGCTGGTTGGTTTGAGTGTTAATGGAAACACCGTTCACGACAGGCAACCTTGTTTAGTCAGTTATCAATATTGCATAACCATTAGAGGAGTTGAGATTGAATTTCTGGTGTAGACGTAATATCTAGCTGGTTATCAATCAGAGGACATGTAGACTGCACAACAACTCACCCAGGTCCTCCTTTATGACTGTCAGCTAAAGCCATTGAAGGTGGAAGACATGAAAAGGCTACCTATCTTTGACTATAGATGTTTGCGTTCTATCTTCCATGGCGGTTAGGCGTAGAATGTTAGGTAAGAATGGTAACTCAATCGATGAGCTTGTGAAGTCACACAGATTGAGATAACTAGGACGTGTGTTGCACATGCCGACAGTCATCGTCTTCCTCTCGACAGACAATGTTAGTCAACATAGGATTAGGTTGAAAAAGAGTTAGAAGTGATCACATCAAAACCTCACACCAATCCATTGAAGCCTTAGACTGTTGGTTTGAGCCAGCCACGTAAGGGAACTGTAGACTACCTACCTGGTTGGAGTGTCCTCGAGATCCTAAGAACCGACAGCAGGGAAGACAATTGGCGATATTGGCTTAAAATCATTCTCAGTGGTCTGTCTGTCCGTCTGTTTTCGACATAGAACTTTGCACATATGTGCGGAAGTTCAAGTCACCACACTCCCTCCATGTAGCACAAAAAGCAAGAGAAGAAAGTAGAAATGCATAATAGAGACAGTAAACAGAGGTGTGAGACAAGGGAATAGCAGTAACGAAGAACAAACAGTTTCATTGAGAATCATAAGTCACAAGAAGTGGATGCATCTGCGCAACTGAGAACGATTTTGAGCCAAATCACCACCAATTGTTTCCAATCTTCATTGGTTTTTACCATCCCGAGGACCCCAACTAGACTGGCAGTCTACACCTTCTGATGTGGCTGGCTGGTTTAAGACAACGGTTGTGGATTTCATCGACTGATGAAGCCATGTCTTCATTTCACCATGACTGACCAACTATTTTCCAACCTGATCCATCTTATGTCAGCTAACACTGCTCTTCGTCGAGGAAAGCTGTAGCTAGGCAGGCATGCGTGAGAAACACATTTCCTAACCATCTCAATCGGTGTAACTGTTTCACAACCTCGTCGATTGATTTCTTCTCCTAACCTCAATACATCTGCCCTATTATACCACCCTGACGCGGGAGATAGAAGACAGGCACTTATGATCAAAAACAGCTAGCTGCTAGCCAGTCTTTTCATGTCTTCCACTTTCAATGGCCATGTCTCACGCACAGCCATAAAGAAAGATAGAGCGAATTGCTGAGAGGTACACACCTCCTTTGATTGACAACCAGCCGGATATCACGTCTACTAAGCCAGAGACGGCACAAACCGGTATAAGCGAAACGAGCCTTCCGAATCCGTGCTGAGATTTCGTTAGCGATCAACCGGTTGTGGCTGATGCAACTTCCTAAATAAGTGAAGGAAATGGTCAACACGTTCCACCCAACACTTTACTCACTATTTCTAAGCTAGGAGTCAATGTGGTCCAGTCATATAGCCGCATCATTTAACAATTAGTGGGAGTGAATTGCATGTCAAACATTTGCAGATTGCAGCTCAAAGTGTTCAGAAGACACTGTATTATGTCAGCGTTTTCAGCATATTCTAAGTCACCGAGATTATTCCCTGCTGGAGACAAGTGAATTCTTGAGTCGCTGAAGTCAATTAGCGTTAAGTTCATTAGTTGTATGCTAAATAAGCATGTGGCGACTTAAACGTGCTACACTTCTGTACAAAATTCTACGTTGAAACTCGGTCAGTCAGTCAGTCGATCATTCTCTGTTCATTAGTAAGTAGTCCGTCAGTCTTTTCTCAGGAAGGCTTCGTGTGCTTTTGGAAGTGTATGGGCGGTTGTTACTTCCTGGCTGCTCACACCGTGGAAGTTGATTGATTCTTAGGGTACTTGAAACAGAGAGAGGGTTAGTGTTGCCTGACCACAGAGACCAGGAGACAACTGCTTGAGGCGGATCGGTCACACACAGCCTGTATGAAATGGCTTTTAGGTTTGGTTCCGTGTTAGTAACTTGCCGCCGGTTACGGACCACAGTAGGGTAAGTCGGAATGTACATTTTTCGGTGTTGACGTTTACTAACCCCCTCTCTCTAGAATGGAGAGACAGCATAGCTGGTATGCTGGTCATCTGATGAGGGAAACACCTCACTGCTGTTACATCCCTGTTCTCCCCAGTAGTACGACTTTGTCCCACAGGCCTTTAGAATAAAGTAAAAAATAGTCTTCCTCTATGCCGGTAACTGCTTTTAATCTAATCGCTATCCTAACAACCTTCCTGGCATGGTAGGACCTGCAGGAACATTGATTCCAGCCAGTGTAGCAGCTACCGGTCGGGCGTCAGTTTTTTGATATTTACAATGAACAAAAGTGTCAAAGAACACAGAATACACAGAATAAAACTTACACAAGAGCATACACAGCAATCTCCATGATTTCCAGGCATTTGAGAAGTTGCTTGTTGTTTTCCTGAATGACATTCACAAGGAAAATTGTTATTTACACCAGCACAACCATCACCACAGCTTGGCGGCATATTTGAAATATCTGTAGGAAGTGTAGTTACAGTCATAGTTGTTGCTACTCCTGTTGTTGTTGTCGGCTTCGTTGTCATAGCAACAGGAGTAATAGCAGTAGTATTAGTAGTAATGATTAACTCGCCATACGGGTTACCTTTACCACTGCCATTATTATTATTATTGTTTTTAATATTATTTTTACTATTCTCATTGCTCACATCACAATCATCATTTAATTGTGAGTAATAAGGTGATTGACAAATTTCATATCCTAATATACACAAGTATAATAGTAAAAAGAGAGATCGAAGGATAGAAATCAATCAATAAATTCAGAATCCTACACCAACAACAATAAATAAATAAAGATTATGTATATATAGACGTTTTGGAGGTGTGACAGTCTGTCAAATAATGTTGTTTAAATGTTCAAGCGCTGATTTGCGCAGACTTAATTGATTGATTCTGGAAGTTAGATTTTATCTTATGTAACGAAGTAGTGATATGGTGTGGCCTGTTTAAACACTTGACCTGCGCGCTACCAGAATTTCCGTCTATCTATCTATTACATAATGCTGTTTAAAGCCTTCTGCATTTTCTCTGATTGTTTTCATATCATTAAAAAACCACCACACTGCGTGCATAAACTCGCGCGCATATTTTTATTATTGTATTATTGTTTCCTTCAGTTTCTAGAGGAACATAGGGCTTCAGCCAGTCGCACGTCTCCATTGAGCGTTCGGTTGTCTACCAACATTTTCACCTGGCTTCATGTTTGCCCACATGCTTCCACCTACACTTCACATCATCTACTTCTACATGTCACCCTCGCACTGATCACCAACTAACTCGCCTCTTCACATTCAGGTTCCACTCGAGCAATGGCCTGGTGTGTGATTTCACTCACTTGATGGTTTTCTCAGATTATGGCCAATCCACTTCCATTTCTTCCTGCATATTTCTTGCACTGGTTCCTGCTGAGTTGGTTCGCTCCCAGAGATAAGTTGCTGTTGCTGATATTTTTTGGCCGGCCATCTGATCTTCAGTAGTATTGACCGAAGACAGCTAGCTGTTGATGAAGGTCTGTAGTTTGTTTGAGGTGCTCTTTATGATGCGCTAAGTCTCTGATCCATATAGCAAGTAGCACTGACCTCACATTGGAGTTGAAAATCTGGATCTCATTTTTCATACTCAGTGCTGCTGACGTCCACACAGACTTGAGAGAAATAAATGCTTGCCTTGATTTCCAGATCCTTGCTTTGATATCCTCGTCAGTTCAGCCTGTAGCTGAAACAATGCTTCCCAAGTAGGTAAAGGAGGTTTAAATAGTAGTCAAGGTGATGGAACAAGCACTCCTCACGCCCAATCCCCCGCACCACCCATCCTTCTTGGTCTTCCTATTGGTTAGTGAACTAGGCGAGGTTTAAAAGTACACTGGCCAGGGAATTTATCCGAACTATGTATGGATGTCATCCATTCTGTGTCAGTGAACCAGCACCGACGCGGTGAGATTTGATAATACAAACCAACCACTCAAACTTAAGTAGGTAAAGTTCAAGAGTTAGTTTATAGGGAAGTTGATTTGTCTAAAATTTGATTACACACTAATATCAAGTTAAAGAACCATTGAAAACTAGGGAGTACTGGACAGCTGTTTCATCCTAGTTCAGCAATCTTCATCACTACACACCTGTGAACCACCTAACCAGGGGACCCTTTAGGCTACATGGTCAAACTTGCTCACCATTCAGCCACTTAGGCTGTATAATTCAATAACCCAAGAATTCTAACTTCTGTTAATTCTTGATTTTAGCGTGACCACCAGCCAATGTCTTCAGCCGACCTGTTCGACGCCCCCCCTCGGCTGGACATGACTTCTCACTAGAAATCCATGAAATTTGGTCCAACAGTCAGTCGCTACTGCGTTCTAGTGAGACGTTCTGAATGGTGGGGTCCACCAGGTTGGGTGTGAGGGCAAATATTAATGCCGAACAGTCAATTTCACCTTTAGGCATAAATCTGACCTCTAAACAAACTGATTAGGTTGCACTCACGAGATGTGCAACATAGATGGATGGCACTGAAATAGAGACCAAGTCGGAAATTAAATACCTAGGCGTCATTCTATCTGGTGATCTTTCCCTATTGGTCGTCTCATATCTTGATGATTTCTAAGAAAATATTCCGTCTTACCTTCTACATCAAGAAGTTAAGACATTCTGGTATAACCCAACCCAACCCAACTCTTACTCATACGATTCGTTAACTCTCGCATCCTGCCTATTATTCTCTACTGCTCCCCTTAGTTTTACCAGGGCTACTGAAGAAAGACTAAATCTTATTACGTAGGATGTTAAAGGTTGTCAGCAGGGTAAGCCACAGGGTGCCACTTAACCAGCTTGTTGATATTCTGGTTGACAGACACTTGGACTCATGTGAAAAATGGGATAAATCAATTCGATCTAACTCACATCACCCTCTTCATTCACAACTCTCCCCTTGTATCTATCTCATCAGACAGACAGATCAGAGGCCTATACAGAAAACTATATGCTGGCACTAGTAAGTGCAAAAACTCAACCGTACCTTACTCAGCTCGTGTTCTGTGCGATAAACAAAGCATTAAGCGTGAAACGTGTAACTTATTAAATAGTCAGTAGAACAACTGGATCTCGTCTTTCCAACTCCTCATATCATTTGTGGTTACAACGTTTTCTTTCTTTCTTATCCTTTTCTCCTTCTCTCTCTTTTTTCTGTTATGTGCTGCTTTGTTTCTTTCTTCTGCTTACGCCAGTAAATATGCCACCATCTACTTTTCTAGCACCTTCAAACATTCTGTTCACTTTTGGCTTTGCTACCGACATGCTAATATGTTGTTGTCTAAACGAACTGAGACTACCCTTAATCTATGTAGAATTTGATTTATTGTTAATGTACTAACTGGATGCAATACTGTATGTAGTGAAATGCTGAGAATTCCATTCTGTATCACAAATACTGTTTAGGAATAAAGCATATTATTATTATTAATACTCGCTGAAAACGCAAAAATTTCAAACTGACAGTAGTTAGAATTCATGCGTTATTTAATTATAGCCCAGAAGGCTGGATAGTTAATGAACTTGTCCTCATAACGTGAACGTCCCTGATTCGACACCTGGAAGGATCTTGGATGTGTTCTGCTGAAGAGTACTAGCACTAGGATAAAAATACTATCCAGTACTCCCTGATTTTCCATGATTCCTTAACTAAGAATTACTAGACAAGATCAAGATGAACGCGCAACAGGTCTCAATAGCGAAGAGTCCTACCGCACACACACACAGACGATATGACACAGAATTACAGAATATACAACAAAAGTACACAACAACAACAGCACTTACTTCTTTGAGTATTACTATTAACTTTGGTATTTTGTAAATCTCTTCGCAGAGTACTACTGCTATTCGGAGCAGTAACAATGACAGATGAAGTAGTGGATTGTGCAGTTTGATGATGAGGAGGAGGAGCTGGAGGAAGAGGTAGAGGTAGTGGTGGTGGGGGAACAGATGGTGGCGGTTGATTAACACTTGCATACAGCCCGTCCGAATCTGAAGCAGCATCATCACACAGGGAAGAATAACATCGACTATTCGACTCGAAAGTGTTTGTTTGCAGCTTAATTCGTTGTTGTTGTTGTTGTTGTAGCTTAGGTATAATAGCGATATCATATAGATTTTGATCATTTTCTATTGATCGTTTAACAGCTGGTACTGAATAATACGTCAGCTGATCACTAATATCCTCTAGGGTATCCGCTTGTTCATGATTTATTGTCTTTATCGGTTTATTATTCTGCATAGAATAGACCGAGGGAGGGGAAGGCGTGGAGAGCAATGACAACATTTATTGTGAGTAGTTATTTGTTTAACAGTATAATGACATAAACACAATACACTGCGTTAAAACAATCGGCTGAGTTTTACATCCATTATATTATCTCTCTGTGTCTCTGTCTGTTTTCGACATAGAACTTTGCACAAATGTGCACCAGTTCAAGTCGCCACACTCCCTCCATGTAGCACACAAAGCAAGAGAAGAAAGTACAACAAAAGCATAATAGAGACAGTAAAAAGAGGTGTGAGACAAAGGAAGAGTAATAACGAAGAACAAACAGTTTCATTGGGAATCATAAGTCACAAGGAGTGAATGCATCTGCGTTAGCCATTGAGAACGATTTTGAGCCATGTCACTAACTGTTTCCAACCACTGGTTTTTACCGTCCCGAGGACCCCGACCAGTCAGGAAGTCTACACTTTCCTATGTGGCTTAGACTAACTGTTGTAGATTTCATTGACTGGTGCCAAGTTTTTGTTTGACCTCCACTAGCATTTTTCCAGCCTGACCCTATATCCGCTAACATAGCCCGTTGGTCGAGGAAGGCGATGACTAGGCATACGTAACACATGTCCTAACCATCTCAGTCTTTGTAACTTCACAACCTCGTCAATTGATTTACCCTCCTTACCTAGAACTCGACACATAACCTCAATACTGCTCACCTTATTATGCCACTTCAAACGGGAGATAGAACGCAGGCACCTATGATCAAAGACAGCTGATCCTTTCATGTCTTTCACTCTCAATGGCCATGTCTAACTCACAGCCATAAAGGAGGACGGAGCGGACTGATGAGCAGTACACCCGCCCTTTGGTCGATAGTCGAATATCTCGTCTACGCCAGAGACGGCGTAAACTGACAAATCCGAAATGAGCCCCTGTATTCGTGTGAGATTTCGTCAGAGATCAACCCGTTGTCACTGGCTGATAGTACTTCCCAAATAAGTGAAGCGGTCAACGTGCTCTACCACTTCACTCCTTCCTATTTGTAAACTAGGAGTCAGTGTAGTCCAGTCGAGTCCAGTCCAGTCCTGTAACATCATCTTACATTTGGCGGGAGCGAATCGCATGCCAAACATTCGTAGATTGAGGCTCAAGGTGTTTAGAAGACTCTGCGTTTTGTCAGAGTCGTCGCCTATGAGGACTATATCGTCTGCATATTCCAAGTCAACGAGATTATTCCCACCCTGGTAGCAAGTCAATCCCTGAGTCGCTGAAGTCACTTAGGGTTAAGTCCATTAGTACATCTATGATGAAGTTGATTAGGAAAGGGGATAATGGACATCCTTGACGGACACCACTAGTCGTCATCAGTTCAGATGACAGCTCGCCGTAAGCCCCCACCTGGCTGCATGAGTATGAGTAGAGTGATGGCCTTAATCAGTGCAATGTATTTTCTCGGCATTCCCCTCACAGCCAAGCATCTCCAGAGAACCTGTCAGTCGACAGAGTCGAATGCTGCCTTTTAGGTCAAGAAATATAATGACTGTTGGACGCCGGTAGGAATCCCTATGTTCTAGAATCTGTCGGAGGGTGAAGATATGATTAATACATTATATTACATACATTATATTATAATACATTATATAATAATAATAATAATAATGATAACAAGAATAATAATAATAGTAATAGAACAAATAATACAGTGAGGCGTTCGAAATGCATACCGAAGTAAGACAAAGCTGTCTCTTATCACCGATGATATTTTTAATTGTGGTGGACTGACTGGATCATGCGTCAGACTGTGCAGACTGTGGGGGCGAGGAGACAGGAAGGGGTTGGATCGACAGTAAGACTCTAGAAGATCTGGATTTCGAGACGGATAATTTATGTCTAATGTTACAGAAACTCGCAGACTTACAGGCGAAAACCAACAGGCTGGCTGAAGAGGCAGCAAAGACAGGTCTACAGGTGAACATAGAGAGAAGACGGAGGTGATGAAGACAACCAAAGAACCGCAACAACAACAACAACAACAACCGGCATCAACCAACATCAACGGGAGAGATTTGAGAGAGAGAGAGAGGTTACTTCCTTCACTTATCCAGTCACGAAGCACGGTTTCAACCACAGGTGGACAGCACCGATGAAGATGTCAAAGCTAATCAGCTAGAATCCGAAAGGCGAGATACGCCTTCATCAATCTGAAACCAGTTTGGAAATCTTCTACACTCACTCACTCACTCACTCGCTCAGCATAAGGAACAAGATTCGAATTTTCAAGAACCAATGTGAAGTCAGCCAGTGCTTCTATACGGGTCAGAAAATTGACCAGTGTGTCACGAAAAAGATTTCCAACAGGTCATTGCAGACTTTTATCAACAGCTGCCTTAGCTGACTCCATACTGAAGATCAAATGGCCGGCCGGCCGGTCGGCCAGAAAGAATTAGTAACAGGAAACTGTGGAAACGAACCAACCAAGAGCTGATAGCTCAACAAATATGTAGGAAAAAATGGAGATGGATCGGGTATACATTGAGGAAACCATCGAATGACATTGCGCGCAGGCCATCGAGTAGAATCCCAATGGGAAGCGACGAGTGGGTCGTCAGTACAAGGGTAACATGGAGGAGATTGTGTGGTGGGGAGGAGGAGATGAGAGATTATGGGCAATTGTGGACCCAGCTAAAAGGGATGGCAGGAAATAGAACAGAGTGGAGATGTGTAGTTCAAGCACTATGTTCCACTCGGAACCCAAGGGAATAATAATAATAATACATTGACAATCTGATTCCTTCGCGTTCCCAATGGAACACAGAGAGCTTCAAGCTTGAGTTTTAGAGTTTCAGTAGCAGTGGTTCAACTTTCTCACTTTATACCGGGCTTACTACCGGTTGGGCGAAGTTAACGAGTGTATCGACCCAGCGAATCGAATTCCAGACGATATGGGTGGTTGGCTAATATTGAACCACTTTTTCTTTAGAATGTTGCAAAGAGAACTCTGATATTTTCAAAAGAGTATTGACATTGAATGACTGACTGGTTTCAGCATAGAACTTTCCACATATATGTAGCAGTACGAGTTGCCATTCACCCTTCATGTAACATACAAAAGCAAGAGAAGAGAGTAGAGAGAGATTCACCGAAAGAGAGATAAAAAACAGAAGTGCGAGCGAGAGAAAAAGAATAGAAATATGGGCAAACAATAGAGTACTCTGATTGGATATGATAAATCACAAAGAGTGAGTGAATGCATCTGTGCCAGCCATTGACAACACTAGTGTCCAGCCTTCATTGGTTTGTACCATCCCGAGGATCCCTCCCAGACTGTCAGTCTACGCTTCCCTACGTGACTCAAATTAAGTGTTAGAGATTTCATGGACTCAATATAGGTTTTGGTTTGACCACCGCTAGCTAACTCTTTTCCAACCTGATCTATCCTATGTCAGCTAACATTGACCGTTATCGAGGAAGGCGATGTTTGGGCATACGAAACACATTTCTTAACCATCTCTTCCAATCGATTTCACTTCACAACCTTTTTGATCAACCAAATTTCCCTCCTTATATAGTACTCGACACCTAACCAAATCAGTATAACTCACCTTATTATACCACTTAACATGGAAGATAGAACCCAGACACCTATGATCAAAGACAGTTAGCTAGCCAGTCTTTTCATGTCTTCCACTTTCAATGGCCATGTGTCACTCACAGCCATAATGAGGGAACTGCTAAGCAATACACACGTCCTTTGATCGAGAGTCAGTCTGATATAACGTCTCTGCCAAAGATGCCGAATGTTGGCGGTATATGCCAAACAAGCCTTCTCTATGTTTCCTCAGGAAACACAGGAAGAGATACGCCAAAGCCTTCTCTATCCGTGCTCAGACTACGTCAGCGGTCATCAACTCACTAGCGTTGGCTGATGCAACTCCCCAAATAAGTGAAGTGGTTAACACTCGCTACTACTTAACTCTCGTCTATCTTTAAGCCAAAAGTCAATGTAGTCCAGTCCTGTCATTTGAATAAGTATCACTTTTGGTACACTCATTCTTTTTGACGTAGTTATGTGCTCTAAGCTGAATGATTTACTTGCGAAGCTTTCATTGCCCTATTAAACAACATCTTCAGAGCATACTTCAATTTGAAGACGTCAAATTCGTAGACTTCAAATTAAAGTATGAGCTGAAGATGTCGCTTAGTGAGGCAATGAAAGCTTCACAGACAAATCATTCAGCTCAGAGAACATAACTACATCAACAAAATCATCCACCTGAGATACAAATCCTCTCCATCATATCTGATGGTCACAAGTTCGGAATAGGTTTAAAACATTACTTTCCACAGTCAATTTATTCTGTGAATCTTGAAGGTCATTGGTTATTGAGAGGATGCATCAGCCCCATTGAGTTGATAACCGACGAAATCTCAGAACGAATACACAGAAAGCTAGTTAGGCATTTGCCAGTTTACGCTGTCCTGTGGCGTAGACCTGATATCTGATTATCGACCAAAGGATGTGGGTAAAGCTCAGGAGTCCGCTTACTCCCTCTCCCTTTATGGCCGTGAGACATGTTGGTCATTGAAAGTGGAAGATACGAAACGGCTGGCTATCATCTGTCTTTGATCATAGGTACCTGCGTTCTATCTCCCGTGTGAAATGGTATAATAGGGTGAGCGAAAATGTGGTTAGGCGTGGGGTCGAGTGCTAGGTAAAGAGGGGAAATCAATAAACGAGGCTGTGAAGTTACATCGACTGAGATGATTACGAAATGTATTACGCATGCATCATCCCTAGCCATCGCCTTTCTCGACAACAGGCAATGTTAGCTGACAAAGGATCAGGTTGAAAAAGAGACAGGGGTGGTCAAAAGAAAACATGACTTCATCAGTCAATGAAATCCACATCAGTTAGTTTGAGCCAGACACGTAGGAAGGCGTAGACTTCCTGGTTGAGGTCCGTGGGACGGTAAAACCAATGACTGGAGTAGATGCATTCACTCCTTGTGACTTATATTACCCAATAAAATTATATTGATCTTCGTTATTACTATTCCTTTTTATCTCATATCCCTGTTTATTGTTTATATTTTGCATTTCTAATTTTTTCTATTGCTTTGTGTGCTACATAGAGTGTGTGTGGCCACTCGAACTGCTGCACACTGATGCAAAGTTCTATGTTGAAATCAGACAAACAGACAATAATAAATTTAATTTTTCTGTTATTACGTATGCGAACTCAGATTGGCTGTCTCAAGGTCACCGTTGTGCTTCTCTGCTTGGATCCCTCCCTATTCGTGTACCTTCGTCCATGGATTAAAACACAACGACTGATGCTTATCCGGCAGTCATAGTCTCCACACATCTATAGATTATGAGTATGAATTACAACACTGACGAGTATCATCAAATGCCCGACAGAATTATCCTTCATCTCACAGAGTTAAGTGGTTTTCTTTGGTTGACCACCCCTTTCTTTACTTCTTCTTCTAAGATTAGTCTCAGGCTACGGAAAACAGAAAGGAAGTGTAACAACAGAAGACAAGGGCTGGCAACAGATCGTTTTATTACGAAAATCAACACGTATTTATATATATTTTATGTGCATTAATAAGGCTTATGCAAGCAGAAAAAGGCAGTCTTCTGATTGGTTGTTTCTCGGAAGTTAAGCAGACAAACACAGTCTTATGATTGGTTGTTTTCGATACTTCTCGGAAAGTAGAGCCATCTATCTGCGAATCATATTTGTCCACATTTAAGCTTGCTGTGATTGGTTGTTGAAACAGCCTTGTTCATATTTTCTCACGGCCCATATTAGTGACCTAGACATTACCGTAGATTAGTGTCAACCAATTGGCTAGCAGCCTGCTCTCACCACAGAAGTTGTTCAAATGGCATTTGTGACGCTTATTCAAACTGTCGAAGCTAGTATCTGCAAATAACATTATACACAGAGAGACGCTTTCCAAATACATATATCGTCGCATCACAGAATTGATCACACAGTATCGCTGCCATAAGCCTGTCGTACCACGGAGATAATATATATAATATAATACAAAGAGTTGCCACACATCTTATGGATGGAGAGTAAACCTGCGAGCACCGAAACGTAGTAAGTTCGACTTTTGTCGACTCAAACCAACATCGTAAGTGTCCTGGACATACTGTCCTAACTTTCATTAGACGCTTAAAAATTTCAGCCGCCACATTTTAAATAATGCTTAAACAACTACCTAGGTAGATAAGATCATGAAACGACTATTCGATGGGAATCTCCATGTAAGTTTCCGCTTCTCAGTAAAGTAATTCCCGTTGTTTTCCCTTGTATTATTATTATTATTACTATTGACAAGGATGAAATGCTTTTTGAAATCGTAATATCCTACAGAGCTTTTTACAAATGGGTTTAATCTGCACGTGTTGTGCAAATGCACCTAAAGGCGAAGAAGACAAATGTGTGTGTGAACATCAATTAAGTGTGCATGCATGTTATTCTTAAAAGTAAGGAATTGGACCAACCAAGCCAGCGAGTGACACAGTGTGAAACATTCAATATCAATGTCATTATCATAATAGTTTTTAAAAAAAATGATGTCAACATACTTCAATGAAATTTGTATCCGAATATGTAGGCACCGGAGGAAGTTCACAATTTCTATGGGAGTTACTTTCTTGCCTTCAGATAGAAAATAAATAAATAAAAAAGAGAGAGAGGAAACGTGTTGGATGGTTAGAAGTCATCAACAAAAAGGTTATAAAATTGGGGGGGGGGGGGTACATTCATAAAATATTTCAGCAAAACTATTAAACAGAACTTTACAGCTTTACAGCAACCTTAGTCAGTTAGACAGATGTTAGTTGCCCAATGCAGGGCTATTATTATGTCATTATTATTCCCTTGGGTTCCGTGTGAAACATAGAACTACAGCGGTATATCTTCATTTCTCTCAGTTCTTTGTAATCTTTTCCCTAGCTACTTCCACGATTGCCCAAAAGCTTTTATTTTCTCCCTGAATGATCAACCCTCTCGCCCCCCCTCCCCAGTGTCAGTTATCCAACACCCAACTCGTCGTTTTGCACTCTACAGTCTCCACAGTCTACGGCCAATCCATCTCTATTTCCTACTGCAGCAGGTTCTTTGTTAATTCATTGCTTATCCATTTCCATCTGACCTCCAGTATCGAGAGAATGCACTTGGTCGTTGTTGATGACAGTCTGTGGTAGCCTGTTGGAAAGGCTTTTCGTGACGCGTCACGTATCTTATCCATAAAAAGGCACTGATTCAATATTAGTGCTGAAAATCCTGATTATGTTTCTAATACTGGGTGCAGTCGATTTCCGGACGGATTTCGATCCAGCCTTCGACATCTTCATATCTGTTAGAGAACCACTGGAAAACCTGGGACTCTTCATCAAAACGCACCAACGGGGTTCGAAAATTGATCTAATGCTCACTAGCGACTGGTCCTATTCACCCAGTTACCTGGGGTCCAGGTGGGAAGCCTTGACCAAAAGGGTACAGAAGGTTGAAAGTGAGGACAGGACATTGCGAAGTGGTCACTGTACGTCGTGAATTCTCAGAAGTTGGAATTCATGGGCCATCGGATCTGGTCTCAGTGGCTTAATGGTCTACGAGCTTGCCGTGTAACCAAAAGCTCGGGGGTTCGAACTCAGGCGGCGGGTGCGCACTGACGAAGAGTAGCAAACTAGAACGAAACGGCTGATTGTCCAGTACTCCCATATGGTTTTCCAATGGTCCTCTAAGTGATGTCAGCCAGCTCATGATGAAATCCTCTAACCAATCAAACTAAATCCCTACAAACCAACCCTTGAAAATCTTCATATCTGTACCGCCTGTAGTTGAAATGATGCTGCCCAAATATGTAGACGAAGTCGTCTCCATTAGATTTCTCCCGTTGATGGTGAATGGCGTTTGTTGTTGTTGGTTGGGTGTCTTTATCATTTTTGTCGTAATGTGTCCGCCAGATACATAGCATCGCCTTACTCCTGTCTCCACTTCAAAAGCTTTACTGAATTTTCCACTGTCAACACTGTCAACGGCTTTTCCAAAGTAGGTGAAATTGAGGTAGGTTTGTATTGCTTTTATGATTGCGGCTGGGGCTTTGACACCTTCATATGTGCCGCCTTTGTAGGAATGATACTGTTTAGGTACCAGGCTATAATCCACGCTTATTGTGTCTGAGGGTTAATTTTATTGTTCAGTTGTCCAAACGTGTTGAAGCAGATGGAGCAGGATTTGAACACGCGACCCATAGGCTCAAAAGTTTAATGCTTAAGGACAATGGAACCACATCTGCATTCGTGGCAATGTAATGACAATCTCGGATCCAATAATTTCTAAATTCAAATCAGCTATCCAGTGTGCACTTCAAATATTTTCCCTAAGTGACAAAAAGTTTTGTTCAACAGAACCATGGCGTTTAATTAAATTACAAATATATGTGTTGATATATGGCTCGTTGGATATAAAAAAAGACACTCGGCTTTCAGTAACAATGAGCTCTGTCAGTTCCGTAAAGTTGCATCAACCAACGCCAGAGGGTTGATCGCTGACGAAATCTCAGCACAAATACAGAAGGTTTGTTTAGCATTTGCTAACATACGCCATTTCTGGTTTAGTAGACGTGATATCCAGCTAACTATTGATCAATGGACGTGTGTATTGCTCAGCATTTCGCTTCGTCCTCCATTATGGCTGTGAGTTAAACATTAGAAATGGAAGACATGAAAAGACTGGCTAGCTAGCTGTCTTTGATCATAGGTGGTGTCTGCGTTCTATCTCCCGTGTTTGGTTAGGCGTTGAGTACTACATAAGGAGGGAAAGTTGGTCGATCGATAAGGTTGTGAAGTTACACTGATTGAGAGAGATGGTTAGGAGGACATGTGTTATGCATGCATCCCTAGCCATAGCTCACCCTTTTTCGACAATAGGCAATGTTAGCTGACATAGGATGGATCAGGGTGGAAAAGAGGTTGGCGAGTGGTGGTCAAACACAACATGGCTTCATCAGTCAGTGAAATTCATAACAGTTAGTTTCAGTCGTCTAGCCACCCCACGTAAGGAGGTGTAGGCTTCCCTACCAGTCTGGTTGGGGTCCTCGAGATGGTAAGAATCTAATGAAGGCTGGAGACTATTGATGATGATGATGATGATGATATGGTTGCAAATCGTTGGCAATGGCTGGTTCAGATTCATTCACTCTTCGTGATTTGTCAGATCCAAACAAAGTACCCTATTGTTCTTCCATATTACTAAATGCTCTTTTTCTCTCATTCACACTTATGTTTTGTTATCTATTTTTTGAACCTCGCCTTACTGTCTGTCTCTTCCCTTACTTTGTGTGCTACATGGAGGGAGAATGGCAATTCAAAGTGCTGCACATCTGTACAAAGTTCTACGATGAAACCAGTCAGTCAGTCAGTGAGTCTTCCTGCCAGGTTTCAGTCTTACTCTACCCACGACATCAGCCTGGAGGCAACTAGGTAGTATCACCCACCTCCACACACACACACACACACACACACACGATAAGTCTATATCCTCGGTTGGTGTATATCAAAGATCTGTTAGGGATCATTCAGCCCAAAAACAAAGAAATCATACAATCACAACCTCACTAAGGATGTGAATAAACAGCGCGCGAGAGAGAGAGAGAGATCAATGACACTTTCATGACAAACAAAAGTCAGCTATAAGCTAAATATGAAATAGGCTTAAATGATAAATGAATGTATGAGGCAGTTATCCACACTCAAAACTAGATACATACATAGTAGACATGAGTTATTTTTTAAAATTATGTTTCAAACTTAGGTCAGTATTATATTTTAAATTTAAAATCCGACAATGTGTGCGTGTGTGTGTGTATGTGTGCGTGTCGGATTATTTTATTTACAGGTATTACAGCAGTAACAATGTCACACAGCCAAGGTATACACTAATATAGTATGAACCCGAACCATAGAATTCCTATACATTTGTAACAATTAGTTGCACATGTCTAGAGTTAAGGTCTAAAAACACACGAAAAACCTACGTAACAACAATTGATAAATTGTGTAATGTATATCTATACTATCTTTTTTCTCGTCTGAGAAAACTAAACAAAAGTACCTGTCTACGTCTAGAAACCTGATGCTAGTTACTTAGTCCCCAGTAATAGATTAATATTGTCCATTATCAATCACTACAGGAGACTAATCATCAACTCGAATGGGGTTACTGGTGATGATGATGACGATGTTCAGGAGGGCTTTGTCTGCTATTGGAAGTGTGTGGGCGAAGGTTATTACTTCCCGGCTGCCCACACCATGGCAATTTGTTTACCCTTCGGTTAACTGAAACAGAAAGAGGGTTAGTGTTGCGTGAGGCAGATCGGTCACACGCGGCCTGTATGAATTGGTTTCTTAGATTGGTCCCATATTTGTAAATTTACCGCCGGTTACGGACCAGAGTCTGCCTGCTTTCGACATAGAACTTTGCACATATGTGTGCAGCAGTTCAAGTCACCACACACCCTCCATGTACCACACAAAGCAAGAGAAGAAAGTACAAGAAATGCATAATAAAGACAGTAGACAGGGATATGAGACAATATAGTTTCATTGGAAATTATAAGTCACAAGGAGTGGATGTATCTGAGCCAGCCATCACTGAGAACGATTTTGAGCCATATCACCAATTGTATCCAGCCTTCATTGGTACTTACCGTCCCCAGGACCCCAACCAGGAAGTCTACGCCTTCCTACGTGGCTGACTGGCTTAAACTAACTGTTGTGGATTTCATTGACTGATGAAACCATGTTTTCGTTTGACCACCACTGGCCAACTCTTTTCCAACCTGACCCTATTCAGCTAACATTGCCCGTCGAGGAAGGCGATGACTAGGCATACGCAACACATGTCCTAACCATCCCAGTCGATGTAACTTCACAACCTCGTCGATTGATTTCCCCCCTCCCACCACCACCTACCTAGCACTCGACCGATGCCTAACATCAATATTGCTCACCTTATTATACCACCACCTGACATGGAAAAAGAACTCAGGCACCTATGATCAAAGATAGCTAGCTAGACCTTTCATGTCTTCTACTTTCAATGATCACGTCTAACTCACAGCCATAAAGGAGGATGGAACGGACTGCTGAGCAGTACACACTTCCTTTGGTCGATAGCCGGACCCTACGGACCACCGTAGGGTAAGTCGGGATGTACAATTTTTGTAGTTGACCTTTTCTAACCCCCTCTTTCCAGAGTGGGGAGACAGCATGACTGGTATACTGGTTATCTGAGAGAAACACCTTACTGCTGCTACATCCCTGTCCCCAGCAGTGCGACTTCGCCCACAGACCCCCAGAATAGTGCAGAAGAAAATTCCTACACTATTCCGGTAACTGCTTTTAGTCTAATCGCTACCCTAACAATCTTCCTGGGATGGTAGGATTTGCAGGAATATCACTTCCAGCCAGTATAACTTGCTGGGTGATTGCGATATGCAAGCCCGACCGTCGCGTCAAGGTAGCAGCTATCGGTTGGGGAGGTTACTGGTAAGTTCTCTGACTGTAGCACTGAATGATACGGGTTTGAATCTCCGGTAGGATACCATTTGCTTCGAGATTGCGGATACACCTTGCTGAAAATTATTAGAAAGCGCGAAATCTAGGTCCAGGAGATTTCGACAGATTCTCTCCAACCATCTAGCAGATATCAGTGCTTTATTTGAAAACAGACAAATCAAAAGACTATACAGGATATACAATTCGGTTGAAAGAGGGTTACGGGAGTGGCCGCCAAAAACCAAAGCTGATATCAATCGACGAAGTATTTGATATTTGGTTGGTTTAAACCACGTAGGGAGGTGTACAGCACCAATGTGCAGTAGTTCCATTTTGAAACTCAGTCAAGTTAATCAGACAAAAGATTAAAAGTATTACTTCTTGATGTGTATATGTGTATAGCAGAAGGACACACAAACGCACAAATTTGGTGGCTAAAACAGATGTAATTTCTAGCCAAACATGTGGAACGCACCTAGATTAGTTGTAGCAAGCTATTCTGATGGCTCGACATTTAGCAACAATGGTGATATACTCTACATACGTCAGCCTAAGCAATTGAATCAAAAATACCAGGGTGGAACACACAGTCTCAGCGGCACGTCACCATTCCACTCTTTTACATGACCCCATGATTGGCTGCTCAAAAGCTTTCACTTCCCCTTCACAGGATCTTCTCAGTGTGTTACCCTTATCGCTTCACATTTTGGTTCCACTAGATAGTCTGGTATGTGGTATCACTTAACGATCTCCTTAGTCGATAATTAATCCACCTCATTTACTTTTGCATATTTGTTGAGCAGTAAGTTGTTGGTTAACCCGCTACCTTCCAGAGTTCTTTGTTGTTCATAGACTTTTGTTTTATTCTTTTACGTTCCCCATGGAACATAGGGCTTCATCAAGCTTGAGCTCTGAAGTTTCGGTAGAAATGGTTTTATTTTTACGGGATAAGGTTGCTAGCCTCACGCCAAACCTCCCTTCTTTATCGGAGTTACTAGCAGCTTAGCGAGGTCTACGAGTTCGTCAGCCGGAGATCGAACCTTGGACCACCTGAGGCGTGGTTGACCAGCCGTTCTATCGCTGAACCACCGACGCATCCTGTTCGTAGAGTAATATGTAAAAAATATGTTCCGGAGTAAATGAGTTATAACTTTTAAATTTATAAACCTTTATCAACTGAAAAGGCTGTCATGTTATGCATTTCTCCCCCTAGAGATACATACTCACGATAGGCTCAACTACAGTTAGGCTAGAAGCAAGTTAATAATGTTCAAGTGTTACTTTGCAGGGATTCGACTGGTGACAAGATTTCATTATGAGCTGACATCGTTTAGAGAACTATCGGAAAACCTAGAAGTACTGTACAACTGTCTCGGCATAGTTTTGGAGTCTCCTCTAATCGGTATCAGCTCATGATGAAAGTTAATAGTGGTCAGGTAACCCATGACGTATCTCTCTTTCCTTCATTCGCTTTCCTCACATTTCCTTAATTATTTTTTTTATTCCTGTGCGTTCCCAGTGGAACATAGGCGGCTTCAAGCTAGAGACTTGAAGTTTCGATAGCATAAGTGTTTTTATTTTTACGGGATAGGGTTCCTAGCCAGCCTCATGTCCAACCTTCCTTCTTTACAAGTCTAATCACTGACTTAGCGAGGCTAAGGAGTGCGCTGGTGGCCGGGAATCGAATCCCGGACCACATACACGTGGTCTACTGCTGTGCCGCCGACACAACATTTCCTCATGTTTCTCATTAAACTCCCAATGTCCTCTTTTCACATGTTTTAATGTTTTAAGAAAAACGCCTAGCAGGAGTTTACCTTGAATCTATTTCTCTGTTTAGAAAATCAATTTTTGAATCGATTCAAGGAGATTAAAAGCCATCCTATATATACATATATATATATATATATATATATGCATATGGTTCTGTTCATGTGCGTTTGAACAGTCCTCAGTTAAGCACGTCTCTGCATATTTGATATATATATTAATCGCAATATTCTCAAAAGGAAAAATAAAATAAATCATAATTTTTTTTCGAATCATTATAAATTTTTTTTATCAAAATGTGGTATCCTGATTTTGACAGCAAGCTAGTATGTGAAAGTGTGCGAATGTCTATGTGTGTGTGTGTGTGTGTGGATTCGAGCAACCGACGCAAAATGTAACTATCTTAATAACGGCAACAACAATAACAACGAAAAGGAATTGATTCTAAGCCAAAAAGAAAGGCTTAAAATTATACGGTTATGATCAACATTAGCGATGTGTTACCCACTGAAGATAAGGCTTCCTTATAATTTCTGGGCGAGGAATGATATAGGACACAATGCAAACGGACTCATACAAATCCCCAAATTACAAAAAAATTGATTTGTTGAGACTGTTATTTAGAATTTTGTGTTGATTGATTTTTTTTGTTTTTCATGGCATTTCAATGATGATCAAATAACAACTAGTTAACCTGAATGTGTACTGTCCCAAACATCCGTACTTTGGGCAGACATATCAGCACAGAATTGACACCTCAGTTAAATGAAATCAATCACGTTACAGGTGTGGTGAGAGCAGGCTGCTAGCCAATTGGTAGACATTAATTTACGTCAATGTCTATGTCGCTAATATTGGCCGTGAGAAAATATGGACAAGGCTGATTCAACAACCAATCACAGCACACTTAACGTGGGCAAATACGATTCGCAGATATATGGCTTAACTTTCTGAGTGACCAGTCACAAGCAGTACAGAATAACCTTGAACAAGAAACAACCAATCAGAAGGCTGTGTTTGTCTGCTTGAACAAGCCATAATAATGTACATGAAATATATATAAATACGTGCTGATTTCCGTAATAAAACGATCTGTTGCCTGGCCCTTATCTTCTGTTGTTACACAGGTTTCGACCATGGGATGACATCATTTAGAGAACCATTGGAAAACCAGCTGAGAATACTGAACAACCGTGTGCGTCTCAGTATGAGACTCTTCAGCACAACGCACCCATCAGGGTTCGAACCAAAGATGTTGGCTGCTGGTGGCTGCGCCATATATATCACGAACTGGTAGAATTTGAAATCCATGTGTCATTGGATCACGTCCGAGTGGCTGGACAGTTTATGACCTCGCCTTGTAACCGGAAAGCCTTAGGTTCGAACCCCGGTGAGTGCGTGCTGATAAAGAGTTCGGAACTATGCCTAGTATTTCCTGGTTTTCCAATGGTTCTCCAGCTGATGTCATCTCGTGATCAAACCTGTAACCAACAAAATCTCCACAAACCAACACTTGGAAAGAAACCGATCAAGACAGAAATTCAAAATGATAATTTTTTCGCCAAGTAACCAAGGAACACTAGGCCTTTTTTGTCCTGATTTTGGACTCTTCGTCAGTACGCAGCAATCAATCCACTGGGGATTATGCCCAGGACTTACACATTACGAGGTGAGTCTGTTGACCAATCAGTCATTGAAACGAAGTCGGACGGCCCATGAATTCTAATTTCTTCCAATCTGCTATATATGCGTAACCGCAAAAGATAAGAAACTTGGTGGCTGACCTTTATTTAGGAATAATACATCATATTTATGCATTTTTAACCACGTTAAAAGTCGGCTAGGTCAGTGGAGGGACAAACTGTTTTGATTGGTCGGCAATTGGTCCAAGGTCAAATAAGTTGTCCAATGAGATCATTTCATATATCCACGACGTGAACTAAATTCAGATTTGAAGAATAAACACTTCTACCTCTGCAGTCATTGACTTAGAATGTTGATTTCAATTTCTGGCAGCTTCCTATCAATCTGCATCCATTTACCGCACACGCCACATACGTATGACGCCACGGCTTGCGAATGTCACCGACGAGTATCTCACTTTACAGCCAACTTCCTTCTGGAATCAGTCATTATTAACGACTAAATAGCAAATTATTGGCATAGATTAAATCATACATACGCAAAAGAATAAACCACTTACCGTAGTAGAGTGTAACCAGGTGATATAATATCTGTATCATTCAGACCACCTCTTAATCCGATTGTAGTCGCATACGCCAAATCGCCTTCATTGTCGAATAGACTTGAATTCTTAATTATAACATGATTGGGGGATGTGACGTCACCAGGAGTACGAGCAGCAGCAGCAGCAGCAGCGGATGTTAAATCAGCTACATTCGGGTTACGACCACTTCGAAAGGGACATTTCAGTCGACAAGTGATATGACGTTTTTGATCACCTTGAGTGTTTTTCTAAAACAGAATATAGATTGACATTGATTATTGAAAGTTGAATGGAAATAGCCTCCCTTTTATTTACTTATTCATAAATCTACTAAAGCGCTGATGCGGTTCGTTGGCTTAAGCGTTCGACTTTCAGTCCGCTCCACGTACTACTTCAGTCTGGCTGGCCAACTGGGGGGGGGGAGGCAGTATCATCAGCCCTCACACAATAAGTCTGGTTCTTAGTCTGGTACTCAAAATATCTGTCTCCAGTAGCAACGTAGTCATATTCATAATTTTCTTTGCCTGACAGAGTTAACTAAAGAAGACTTGACTGTCATTATATGCTGAAATAAGCACTGAAGATGTTGTTTAGAAGGACAATAAGACTTTCGCAATTAAACCGCATAGCTTAGAGGATACAACACTACACCGAAATAAACATCCATTTGAGCTACAAATCTTTTCTATTATTTCATAAATTTTATTTAATTTATGAAAATGAGATTTTAATCGCTACAATTCGTTAGAATACTGATGACGACGTAATCAACAGATAGAAGAATATGTGATTTGGAGTAATCATGTGTCACTCTACAATGTAACACCAACAACCTGCAAACAGTGCAGTCAACTGGACAAGAGAACAGACGAGAAGCTCACTGACTGATTGAATTTCAACACAGAACTTTGCACAAAATTGCAGCACATCAATTTGCTACACACTCTCTATGTATTGCAAAAAAAGTGGAGAAATGACAAAACTTCGAAAGAACTATCAAGAGCAGAAGTATGGAGAAAGATATGAGTATTTCCAAGTATTGGTTTTGTAGGGATTTTGTTTGATTGGTTGGTTGAGGATTTCATCATGAGCTGACATCAGTTGCAGAACCACTGGACAGCAAGCAGGTTGAAGATGAGGCAGTAACTCATCGAATAAGACACTGGCTAGTGATCGTGCTATGTCATGAATTCGCAGAAGTTAGAATTCATGGGCCATTGGATCGGGTCCCAGTGGCTCAATGGTCTATGAGCTCGCCTTGTAACCAGAAGGTGCTGAGTTCGATCATTAATCGATGTGTGTGTGCTGTGAATAATCCCAGGTTTTCCAGTGGTTCTCTAACTGATGTCAGATCATGATGAAATCCTCCATGCAATCAAACAAAATCCCTAAACAAATATTTGAAAATTAATCTGACGCGACTGGCCCTATTCAGGAAGTTAGCCTGAGGGTTCTAGTCGGAAACCATGACCAGTAGGTGGTACAGCAGGTTGAAGATGAGGCAGTAACTTGTCGAAGAAGACATTGCGAAATGGTCGCGCTATGTCGTGAATTGGCAGAAACATGAGTATTTAGCAGATCTTAAAGTTTACGAAGAGTGAATACATGTGAGCCCCATTCAGGATGATTTACAGCCGAATCATTAAGATATCTCAAACCAGTGGAATTTAGCGGCTTTAGCAACCTAACCAAGAAGTCTATATATCCCTATGTGGCTCAAACCAAAAGTTACAGACTTCATGGGCTGACGGCAGATTTTGATTGAACCATTTCATTTCAGAATTTTAGTATCATTCATCAGTAATTACAGTTACTAAATCATCACTATGAATCTCTTCAGACTCTGAAGAAACAGTAAAATGCAAAATCTGTCAATAAGTCTTTTTGCTCATTCCTTTGTGTTTCAAGCTCTAATCTTTAAAATTTCAGTACCAACTGAATTGTTTTTACAGGGTGGAATTGTTAACTTCATGTGGCCAACTTCCCCTCTTTCCTGGACCTAATACCGGGACCATGTGTGCATGGCTGGCGAGCATTCCACATATGAATCATAGACGCAAAACCAACAAAAAGTTATCAACAAGTTATTAAGCATTCAAAAAAGTACTCAATTATTGGTTTGTAGGGATTGGATTGATTGGTTACAGGATGTCATCATGAGCTAACCAGTGTAAACCAGCTTGGAGTACTGCATAGCTGTTTCGTCCTAGTTTGGGACTCTTCAACAGCATGTACCTGCTGGGGTTTGAACCCAGGGCCTTCTGGTTACAAGGCGAACTCGTAAACCATTAAGCCACTGGGACCTGATCCAATGGCCCACTGGGATGTATACTGATGAAGAGACCGAGACTAGGACGAAACAGCTGGCTGTCCAGTACACCCAGGTTTTCCAGTGGTTCTCCAATCGATATCAGCTCATGATGAAATCCTGTAAGAAAAAGAGTATTCGTCCATCAGGAATACATAAGTGAATTTAACAAGAAAATCATGTGTTATATACACTCACCTGATTAAATGATTTGATGCTAACATTACTGTTTGAATTGCTACGTTTTGGTAATAAACTATAGACAGGAAGATTAGATTAGTACTCAGGCGTAAAAATATTCTTAAACTTACCTATGCTTTTTATTCCAACAAAAGCATAGCAGGAGAATGAATGACAGTGATAAACCAGAAGTCAGTAGACCAATATAATTCAGCACATTCTCCATACGGTATATACACGAATGCACGCTCGCACACAGACACAGTGAATAACACTCTACTAGTTAATATTGACTAGAATTTAGTATTTTTAATAATTGAAGAGGTTTTGTTTTCTGATGTTATTTATGAAGAGCATATTCCGGTTAGGTAACGATAATCTGGTCAAGTATTACAGGAATCTGAAAAAGATAAGAAGCGGGAAAGGGAATAAGTGAACCAATAATAAGACACCGGTGAATTTATATTCTGGTAATGCGTTATAAGTCACATTTATCATTTGAAGACCGTTGATACCATCTGAATGTAATGACAAATTGGGCATCTAAAAAGATTAACAATCACACATCATTAAGTGCATCTAAATGTAACAGGAAATACGTTCCATATTTGCGGGCAGTCTGTAAGCAGAAAATACACATACAATGTACACTTCTGGACAAGAATTATCTGTCCAAGCTATAAAAATTGACATCGGTAGTTGATTTATAAGAGTACCATGTTTAGTGTTGTGAATGAGGCTATGAAAGCTATCTACTAACAGACTTAACAATGGCTCTATACACCATTTTATAGCAACCAAATGTCTTACAGAGGTATTAGCGACTATATGATAAATAGAAATGATAGGCAACTAAAACCACAGTTTTCCACTCGTGATAATTTGAATGACATGAGTGTGACTGACTGACTGACTGACTGACTGACTGACTGACTGACTGACTGACTGACTGACTGACTGACTGACTGACTGGTTTCAACATAGAACTTTGCACCGATGTGCAACAGTTCGAGTCGCCACACTCCATGTAGCACACAAAGCAAGAGAAGAAAGTAAAGAGAAATGCAAAATAGAGACAGTAAACAGGGATATAAGGTAAAAAGAATAGTAATATCGAACAACCATATAGTTGTATTGGGTATTATAAGTCATAAGAAGTAGATGCATCTATGGCAGCTATTGACAACGAGGATTTTGAACCATATCGCCAATTGTCTTCAATCACTAGCCTCTACCGTCCCGAGGATCCCAATCAGGAAGTCTACACCTTCCTACGTGGCTGACTGGCTTAAACTAACTGTTGTGGATTTCATTGACAAATGCCGCCATGTTTTGGTTTGACCGCCACTAGCTCTTTTCCAGTCTGACCCTTTATCAGCTAACATTGCCCGTTGGTCAAGGAAGGCGATGACTAGGCATACGCAACACATGTCCTAACCATCCCAGTCGATGTAACTTCACAACCTCGTCGATTGATTTCCCCCCTCCCACCACCACCTACCTAGCACTCGACCGATGCCTAACATCAATATTGCTCACCTTATTATACCACCACTTGACATGGAGAAAGAACGCAGGCACCTATGATCAAAGATAGCTAGCTGGACCTTTCATGTCTCCTACTTTTCAATAGTCATGTCTAACTCACAGCCATAAAGGAGGATGGAGCGGACTGCTGAGCAGTACACACATCCTTTGGTCGATAGCCGGATATCACGTCTACGCCAGAGATGGCGTAAACTAGCATGTGCGAAACGAGCCTACTGCATCCGTGATGAGATTTTGTCAGCGATCAAGCCTTTGGGGCTGATGCAAAACATGTGTGTCGGTGGCACAGTGGAAGAATGCTCGCCAGCCACGGCAGGTGGTCCGGGGGTTCGACACCCCGCCGACGCACTCCTTTACCTCGCTAAGCTAGCTAGTAAAAGGACTGGTAAAGAGGGAAGGTTGGGCGTGAGGCTGGCTAACAACCCTGTCCCGTAAAAATAAATACCACTGCTACCGAAACTTTAAAGCTCTAGCTTGAAGTTGTGTGTTCCACTGGGAACGTGAAGGAATAAAATATAAACAATAATATAATGAATGATATGGAACTATTTTGTGATGTTATCTTGAATTAAATTTTGCAAATAAGTATTATCTTTGGGTACAGTATATAGAGATTTCTGCAAGAATGGATCACTGATAATCACATTTGTTAGCCTTTAAGAAAATGCACCAAAGATTGTTTGCAAATGATAAAAAATTATTTTTAAAAAAACCTAGGTGAAAATCTCGTTAGAGTCACGTGCAACTCCCAATGATCATTTCACAGAGCATCTTAAGAGCATTATGTGTTCATCCTCACTTTTTATAGATGAACGAATAGTACTAAGTTCATATTGGCCTTACATGACTATCACAACTGGCTTGCTAACCGTTTATACATAAGACAAGAGTGTTACACTCTTCAGCAACACTAAATAACCGTTAAAGTGCTGATGACTCAACACATATGCATAATTAGCAAACCAATATGATATATTTGAGTTTAAGTTATGTAACACAGAAACTATGAGCTTTCTGCCTGAGCTGAATGATATTGGCAACATGAGTGATTGGTTTTACTTTGCGCTTTTATTTTTCAGTTGGACAGTTCACCGATTCAAGTGAATTCATGAAAAGTCAGACAGTTCTTTTATGATAGAATGTACATCTCTGTATGAGATTTGTTAGCACAACAGGATGGGATTATCAATAATATAAAGGTAATTTTTTGTCAAACACGGCTTTTATTATTCGACTGAGCCTTGTTTAGTAGTAATGTAAGTATCTATTTTCCTGGAATCGATATTCAACCGTTTCTGTTGCATGTGTTAGTTTGATAAACTTATGACAAATAATCAACCTCATCTCTGTGACTTATTAATATTAAAACATTAATATTGGGTTTCTTGCATTCTGTTACATAACAGTGAGTACAACGCATTCTAACAACACATTTTTGTGGTGTAAACATAACTGAGTGACTAACTTATCCACACAGGACCTTGTAAAACACACTAAATCATTTCATTTTATCACACTTCAAACAGGCATATGCAGCAGTACTGAAAATAAATGCAATGAAATTTTGATGAACGAAATTGTAGTGTAGGGAAAATAACTAGATAAGCAAACGAAAGTTTTAGTCCTTGTGAGTACTTTACATAATTTGAATAAAGAATAATTAGATGATTGATGAGGATGTCCATAATCTGGATGGTAAAAAATGGATGAATGTATCTACACCAATGAATCTCGAAAACCCCAAACATATGTTTATCTGTGTCGCTCATGCCAACAATCAAAGAGACGTTATGAGTTGATGGCAGGTTTTGATTCGACCAACCTCTCCTTACTTAATCGTATGTCAGCTAACATTGCTTACCGAGGAAGGTGGTGGTTAAACATGCGTCGGTGGCACAGTGGTTAGGATTCTCGCCGACCATGCACATGGTCCGGGGTTCGAGCCCACGCCGACGCACACCTGGTATCTAAGGTCGGCCTGCGAATTCTGGGCTACCGATATCCACGCTGAAAATTCCACACTTGTACTAAAAAAAATACGGTGTGGAATCAAGCTGTAATCAAAAAAAAAAATGTATAACCCCGTGGATCGATGCAGTTTCATAACTTCATCCACTGATCTTTCCTCTTTGTCTTATGCTTCACACCTAACCCCACAATTCCTGTCAATTTTGCCCCATCTACCATATGAGACTGAACGAAGGAATCCATGGTCAAAACTCGCTCTCTTCCTATTTCTTCCACTTCCAACCGCCAAAGCTCACAGCGATGAGGTAGGACAGAGAGAACTGACGCACAATATACAGACGTTTTGGCAGACAGTCAGAAATCTCGACTGCATCAAAGAAGATGTACGTTGGAGAATTTCAGAGAGCATTCGCAAACATGTTGAGATTTAGTCAGTGATCAGTTTACTAGCAAACAGGTTAACATTCTTAACCATTTTACTACCCCAAGCTAAATCGATAAACACAGCATTCTTAAATTTGATAAGATCCAACCGTCTTACAATACTTACATTTTTAAGAGTGCTGAAAGTTTCATTTCTAGCATCTTTGCCTGAAGAAACTGCATCATATGAATCACATCGTCCATAGAAACTTTCCCATTCAACAAGTTAATCACTTAAGACGGCTAGGATTGTGTCCATTGCCACGTGTTTAATGGAATTCAATAATGATGGCAACAATGGACATTCCTGAGGGACGCCACTGATTAACGTCACTTCAGATGATAACTTTCTTCAAGTTCTTACACGAATACAGTAATTCGAGTACGCCTTGATTAGTACAATAGATTGTCTGGTGACCTCACAGATAGGCAAGCTCATCACGTCACAGTCGATAGAGGTTAATTATACATACGCTTCAGAGATCGTCAAATGACATCATACTCAAGACCCTGTAACGGAACCCGAAGAGGAAGTGACGATTTGGGTGTCAGTTGATACGAGGTCACGTGAGAAGAACGTTAAATCCTGTGGATGGTTTCGGAAATATTTCAAAGTGATAGTCAATACCCTAGTGCAATGGATGTGCTCTACTGATTCCCTGTATTCCACTCACAATGCAAAGATAAAAGTGAAAATAAGAATCCACTAGCCCCCTATTTAGAGCCACGGCCAGACTGTGACTTCAAAATATTAAGGATACTCCAGGCGAATGTTTCTTATGCATCACTAATTAGCTACTTCTATCAACAACTACGCATAAACATTCTGAGTACTGACAATACGAAAACAAGCACTAGCGTTCTAGCTAATGGAACATTAATAAACCTAGTTTCCAGTGTATTAAACTTTACATAAATATATATATTTATATGACAGGTGTTTTAATGCAGTCCGTTTAAAATATAGAAGGGGGCTTATCAATGCGTAATTCTACATATTAAACAATTGTTTAATGATCATTAATGATCATATGTAACGTCAAAACCGTTTGATAGAAGCTAGCGCGTAATAATTATAGTAAAAACCCGCTTACAACTATCAGTTAGCTATTCAGCTCCAAACTATATATGCCCAAATTGTAAATGAATGGGCGTTGCGATTTTGAAAGGCAGGACATATGTTCATATTATAGATAAAATTTTGTCTCCAACTGATACACAACTAGTGAAAGCACACACCAAGATTTTTTTCGTCCACGTATCTTTACAAATAAAACTTGGCCAAAA